GTGCCTTATTTAGCTTACCATGATAGTTGCAAGAACACACGAAACCAGCTCCACAAGGATACACATATGGATGGCACAGAGCAACGATACTAGGAGCATTCTTCAACGGAGTCTTTCTTTTGGCACTGGGGATCAGTATTCTAGTGCAGGCTGTTGAACGATTCGTTCATTTGACTCGTAAGTTCTCAGTTGATATACCGGATCACAATCAGAAGAAACTAACAAAATAGGCGTACAGCAGCCTTTCCTGATCATGATAGTTGGTTGCGTTGGTTTGGCACTAAACATTCTCGTACTATCCTTCCTTCACGGTGAGAAAAGATTCCATCCTCCTCTGATATTCGCGACAACACTCGCTGACTTACACCTTCAGAGCATGACCATGAACATGACCACCAGGGAGGTAGACGACACAGGCATGATGATAGACAACAGAGCCAGGAGACTATTGGATCATTAACTAACGAGGCAATAAGCGAGAGCGTGACAGGTTTGGCACACGTGAGTACAGCATTCCTACATATTATAGAGTCTCTAGCATTAACAATAGCTCAACAGATCCCCATGAACCACCATAATCATAGACACACAACCGTGTCTGTGAAGAGCCCGGGAAGGGACTTGGGTATGCTTGGCGTTTTCATTCACGTTCTGGGAGATGCCATCAACAACATTGGAGTCATCATTGCGGCAGTTCTGGTCTGGCAGCTCAAAGGAGAAGGTCGATACTATGTGGACCCAGCAGTGGGAGTCTTCATCTCACTCATGATTCTCCTGTCAGCTATACCGTTAGTCAAGAAAAGCGGCGCTATTCTACTACAAACTGCGCCTAAAGGCGTCAACCCTGAAGACGTCAAACACGACATTGAAATGGTAACAGCGTATAGCTCATTCTGTTCAGAGCCAAGACTGACAAGCATTTAGATCCCTGGCATCAAATCGGTGCACGAGCTGCACATCTGGCGCCTGGACCAATGCAAATTTGTCGCCTCTGCCCACATCGTCGTCGACAGTAGAACTGTCCAGGGCTTTGCAGACAAGGCTAAGATCATCATGAAGTGTCTCCACGCATACGGGGTTCACTCAGCAACCCTACAGCCTGAGGTTCTCGAAGCGAGCCCCGTGATCATGCCTGGCAGTGGCCCGGGGTCTCAGGGCCAGGCAACTTCGATTAGCGTATGCAGAACTCAACGGTCGCGAGGAGGCGAGCAAGAATGCCAGGTGATTTGCGGAAGCTCGTGTGATGGGCTGAGGTGCTGTGCGCCAGTACACCTTGAGTGATCGACGGCCTTGATGCTGTTTGCTACAGTCGTCCGAGCCTGAGGCGAAATGTGACGAGGAGGAGAGGGGTTTGAGGGGTTTGAGAGGGGCCAATTCGTGAAAGAAGTCGTAAAAGTTTATTCCTCAGTGGTTTTGTGGTCTCCCCCCCCCCACGCTAAGAGAAAAGGGATATCCCTGAAATGACTGTAAGCAACAAACAGACTGTGACTGTGATGCGGCCTTTTGCCGCCGCCGTGTTCAAGTGGCGTTTAGATTTAACTTAGTGGGCAAGGGCTTTTGAGTGATATGTATTAGTTGGCGGGTGAAGCCGGGGAAACTGTTGATGAAGCTTTAACATATGCCTCAAATAACGGGGTGGTGAATTGTGAATTGTGAGGATAGCGGGGTTGTAGTTCATAACTCGATGCTCACAATACAATGGAATGCAGCCAAGCCTCGACTGACACAACAAGTTTCACTATTAGTCAGGCCATTGCGTGTTGTTAAGCTGTGTTAACGTACTGCCAGCCACAGAGCAAAGGGACCTCGCGGCTGAAGTGATGTGATGCATTTTTTACTGGATCAAAGACCCATGACAGGATTGACAGTCAGCCTCATGATGGCATATGCACAAGTCACACCACTTGCTTCGGACCCTTGAAATGTGATAACGTGCTAATCTCAATGAGGAAAAGCTTATGAGCCACACATTAAGAGATCTGAGGCCAGCCACCATGATCCATCCGAGCATAGCATGCGAAAGCTAGGATGGCGATGATGGTGTTTTAACATGGAGTGTTGTGAGCGAGGGTTTGGCGTTACATTGATGCAGGCAGCCAAATTAAAGAAAATGGGTTTTGAAGGTAAGATTTTCAATGTTCACAGAAGTGACTTTACTGGGAGACATCTTGTGACAAGTCAGCTGCTCATTTCAGTGAGACGGTCAAGGGACGGCCCGCCCATCACTAGTCGACCCAGGCCAATGATGATGACAGACGTCGAACAAGACTCACAATGTCAAAGGCGACAGAGTAAGCGAACAGCTGCTATGCCACCCATCTCGTGACTCCGTGATGTGCTAAGAGTAACATTTGCCGACAAAGCATTAATAATGTTGCTCCCAATGGCCAAGATTCGCTGAAAGTTGTTCCTTGTGATCAGCCACGGTCAACCTTTGACCAGGATTATTCTGAGGTGGAAACACAGCTGTCTCTCTTGACGTGAACCGGTCTGCCAGGACATGCCTGACACACATTTGAGCGCAGCTGCAACCGTAATTTGGTGTGGGGAATTGATATTGATCAAGTTCCGATCGAGTAACCCAGCAAATCCGAGATGATGATCCGGATGCAATCTTGGGTTCCCAAGCACTCGGAGGACACAGCAGGGATTCTGGTTGGTAACCTCTCCAACCCAAGATGTGACCTGTAACAATCCATAGCAAGGATGAAATAAAAGCTCATGCGGCCGCTCCACGCGCGCCCGCCGGAATAGGGTGGTTCATCTCATTTCATTGTCAGGTCAAACAAAAGAGCATCTGCATCAGGGATCTTGAAGCAATCCCAAAGCTTCAAGGTGAATGGATGCCCCGTATCTACTGTAACTCGTTTGTTTACGCGGAGACGAGACAAAATACCAGTAACCGCCAAAGGCTGGTCAACTGCGGAGACTGGGGCTGTGGGTTAGGGCGGTTGCAATGTATGTACGAGGACCCTTTTTTTCTGCTGCAGCTCATAAGCTATGGTTACAGAAGCGAGTGCTGGGCGGTGAGATGGATGTTGAAGAGGAAGACAAGTGGAGTGGAGTTGTGAGGGTGGAGGTGGAGGTTTCAATATAGTTACACGTGATGAACGCCATGTTCGACATAGGTAGACCACAATACGTACAAGAGACAGTAAGTTATGGTTAGAGTTAAGGAGGGATGCATATATTTTGAAACCTGGATAGAACGATATGTCATTGCAAGACATCAATGGAGGGTAAACTATGCAGCTGGAAAGGGAGTTGACGAAGCAACTTCTAAGGAGACAACTAAGATGATAACAACTAAAACATCAGCCATGATAGTTTACTAAGAATGCAGCTATTCATATTATGGCTAGTCACTGCTGTAGTCGCTGGACTCTCAGACCGGCACTTGTGTTTGTTTCCAAAGATTGATAGTTAGCCATTTTCTCTGGCCCCATACACACAACATTACATATTGCACCAAGACATATGCTGCAGCCACAGAATACTGTATGAAGCCGAGCAGGGGAGGAAACAAGATTGAGACATGCGAATTGCCCAGATAGGCCACTCGTGTTGTTGACAGCTCATCTTGAGACATCAAGAAGGGTTATCAATTCCGTCGTCACTCTCATGTACCTTGATCATCATATCTTGAGGCTATTCAACAAGTGATCTGCAAGACAACTGCAGGCAGCCGGAAATTCGGACAGAAATTCCTCTTCACCGACAACAAGGCAATATCGCAAGTCTGTTAATGAATACGTACCTTGCCCTGCTGATAGTGATCTTTACCAACGTCACGGAAAATAACAGATATGTGGTTGCAGTGGCCCGCTAACGGGATGAAGATCGACAGTCCAGACCTCGTGTGAATGCCGCTCCGACATAGCCTCGACAGCCCCAGGTTGCTGATAGTGAACAAACAGGCCAGACCTGGACGATTCTATGAGAGTCGGTATCGAATTGTTGAGAATAATAGCGCGAACGTGACTCATTCGCCACGGGGTGGCCGTTGACCGTGCTCTTTCTTGTTCCTGTAGATCACTAATGGAGGGGAAGACACAAGCGACATAAGAGCCTCGAGGCAGCTTATCGCGGGGCATTTCGCGGCGGGGACATGACGATGGCGATGCAACCCCACGACGCATAGCATCATCCAATGGAATTAGACTGGCATTTGCTCTACGGATACAAACGTGCAAGTGGCCGTTAGGGCCGAGGCCTCAGACATAACACTAGCTAAATGTTTAGTTGCTTCTTAGTTGTCGGATTCTCTGGTGAATGAATAAATGATCTTTGAACCGAGCCCTTGAGCCGAGAAGAGTCCAAGAGATATCCGTACCTGAGCGTGGAGCATCATCTGTTCTATGCCTGCTCGGTAAAGAGGATCATTCGAATCGATCGAACCCGAAGACACGGTGATGGTACCTCGTGGCATGCTCAGCTCACATCCATCAGCATCGTGCTGCCTGCATCATATTCGCAAGGGGGGCCATTGGCATCAAGAAGGATCAGGGATTAGTCGGGATCCTCTTTGATTCAAAATTCCGATACTTTGACTGACCAGGGACTGGAACTAAGGAATAGGCGAATTCAAATCCGTACAAAGTTACACAGTAATGCCAGGCTTCTGGCTTGATCACTGGCATGGCAGTATGTCTTGGCAGAATGTCATCCAATGTCATGTAAAGGGGGCTCCCACGTCTTGATATCCTCAAAAGTTCAAGCGGAGGTATATCCGGCAATGCGAGTCAAGCGCTACGGATCGAGATGCCAATGGACACGGCGCGAGTCGAGCCCGAGTTATCCGTCGAGTAGAGTGATCCTACTAATTACGTACTGACTGAAGGATTCTACGACGGAGCCACCGGAGAATTTTTCTCTTCTCACGGCAGTTCGAGTCGAGTGGGTGAGAGATTTGGGGGGGGGGGGGGAAAGTACAGTAAATTGTGAGGTCGTTGAAAGACAAGCTCATCCTTCACACCACGAACAAACAAATTCGCATCCATCTCGGAGCCGACTGGTGGTTGTGCTAATTAAGTCAAGGACGTACAGCGCACACACACTTTTTCTCTTAAGTTGCATGTACAATAGCGTCATGTGTACGGCGCACGTTTTCTTGAACCAATAGCGCAGACGCCAACAGGTAGGCCAATGCTACCAGCCGATAGCGGCGGCTTGCAACTGCGCGCGTTGGTGATGGCAGTGTGATGACCAGAACAAGGGGTTGTGATAATCTCATACAAAATCCCCTTCCCCTGCCTACCCACATGTACAACTACAAGAACTACCTACCTTACATTACAGTTGGGCTGCGATCGATACGCGCAATTTTGAAACTCTCACCGGTCGATGCCTTATCGATGATCCATGTCGATGAATTCGCAGCTCGGAAACTGTTCGCTTACCGACTCGCTTCCCTTCAGTACCTGCTGTATCTCGAGTACAAGCCCGTCGAAGCAGAGCACGAGACAGCGGAGGACAGGGCAGGACAGGGCAGGGAGTTGACTTGACTGCGGCACCGTTACCCATGGCGTTCTTTAGCCGGCTTCTTGATGCTTGGCCTCGGCATGTCTAGCTTATACCGTAGACGCTAGTGTGCGCGATGGTTGCTGTGTTGAGGATTGGGCTGAGTTAGTTAGTTGTGGAAGTTGTTGTAAGAGGAGTGTCAAGTTAAAAGTTAACGTTGCTGCGTATTCGGACTTGTGGACGTCAGAGTCAGTCAGTGTTGTAAGTGTGTAGTAATTGCAACAGCGGAGAATTTGATAATGTACCCGGTGCTGTAAAAGACGTCCCAGCCTGGTCTAGGAGTCTATGAGTCTAGAGCACAAGCCATAGACATGTCAGAGCACACCTAGAGTTCCACTATCATGACCGTCACCATGGTATTCAATCAGAGGCCCTGACCTTGTCTGCCATGCTTTGAACCCCGGAGTTCCCATTGTCTATCTGTCTGCCTTGTGTCTTTTGTGTCTCGAGGGAGAAATAGTCAAAACAGTCGAGGTTGAGTCTTTCTTGTCCTGAGTAATGAATTGGGGCTAGATAATAGCAGTACTCAGAATACGTTGTGCTTTTCTCTTCAGATGTTGAGCCTCATGTAATGATTTCCAATGACCAAAATAGGAACGAATTCCTTCTCTTTCGTTTACTTGCTTGTGAGACGTGAGCTGCTGGTCTTGCTGCGACTCTGATCAAAGTATCAGTACTACACATCTACTGCAACTCTTTGGGCCTTGGCTGCTGGGAAGACCCTGGTCGGGACCCTACGACTGTCGATTTAATGGTTACTTTCACCGCAACTTGAGAGCCAGGGATTTGAGGATTGGCGGACGTCGTCTCTTTTGATGCATACGAGGCGCTTGCTTGTCTTTCTTTTGAAGCTCGTTGACTTGCATGTGCTTCCTTACCTTATCTTGCTCTGAAGTCGCTCCAAATAAACCCCGTCAAGGGCACAGGCTGAAGTCAAGGGGGTTCAGGTCCCATTCGCCTCCATTCTCGATAATCACAAAGGACTCCATCTTCAGGCCTCGACCCTCTTTTCTCCGTATTTACTTCTTTTCTGTTTTACAATATTTACTCCGGCTTGCCCTTCTACGATCAACCACTGGCAAAAGGGCCAGCAGAGCCGCCCGCCCACGACAAGAAAAGAAAGAAAAGGGTCGGGTAATTGTTTTAGCAAGGCCCGCCGTTGTCGTTGACTTGGACCTATCATCTTAAAGGCTTTGTCTGTGGAATGGCATCGCCCACCCCGAAGATCCATTTATTAGGTGTTTAGCCACCCGCAGTGCCGCCGCCGAAACATTAATTCGAGATCCAAACTGTTACATAAACATCGCCGCTTCGAGTATTCTCGCCGTCTTCGAGTTTCGGTTGAACGAGTTTAGTTCATTGGAGTCACGGCTCATCGGCTCGGCTCAATCTACGTTCTCGACTCTACAGCAACAGAATAACGAGATAATTTCAACGTAAACATATTTGGGCAAAACAGATCTAACCAAAAATCTAACCAAAGTTGACCATCTTTGGTTGTTAGACAAAAGTCTCTCTGCCCCGGCTTTCAGTTCCAGCCACTTCGGTGTGTTTGAAGGGTGCTGTCTAGCATCGGGTCTCGTCATTCGGCATCAGAGGTCTTTCAGCACCCGTTTAATCTAAGACTCTGGGGAAACAAGATGCGGTTCATTCCTCGACTCTGATAATCTCGCTCTCCTCTGATCCGTCCACCCATCCATCTCTGCTGTACAGGCGAACGAGAACGGGAGAGAAGAGCCCAGTAACCCAGGTTGGTAATAATCCACATTTCGTCTGTTGTTGATTCTCCTCCGATCCAAATCCATCCAATTCATAAATTACCCACCCATACACATGCAATCTCCACTGAACTATTCCCCATCTCATCTCCATTCTCCATCCTGGCCCCGAACTAAGAGGTACGGGGCATCTTGTACCTCGTGGTCCAAGCCGCCACCAGCGCCAACCCTTAACCGCCACTAACGAGCTGCCTGGAATACCTGGCACTGCGGTACCGCCTGGAAGCTTTGAGCCCACTAGACCTCAGCGCACACACACCCAAAACTGGGCTGCCACCCGCCCCGAGTTGGCCTTGACCCGAGCATCTGGATCAACAACAACAACTCTGGGCTCACTCACCTCGAGCATTTCCCTTGATTTTGACTTCACCTCAATTTACTTACATTGACGTCTATGATAGCGTTTTCGAACTCAAAATCACTCTCGCTGCCACCACCCGTAGAACAGCTTGTCCAGCTCGAAACCCCTCCATCTCTTTACGATCTTCCACCTGCAGCTACCGACCCCCATCTCTCCTGTTGATCACTCGCAAAGACCGCATATCGTCTCTGCCTCCACCCACGAACTATCAACCCCTCACACGCAGCAGAAGCACCACCAGCAGCCAACAGAAACGACCAACAACAAACCTTCTGCTCTCCGCATCTCGCGTTTCGTAACGCACCGTACCGTATCATTCGCACCTCGCGTCACCTCGAACTCTCCCAGTGACCAAAAGGATTCAACCACTCATAGCCAATCCAGTATCAGCTGTGCATGCTCTTCTCATACATTCCCATCACAGTTGTTACCCATTGCTGAGCACAAACCACCATTGCCACCCTCCAGCTCCCGCCACAACAGCAATCAAGACTGCCGCCACCTTTTTCTTTTGCGATATTAGCAAACAAAGCTTCCAGCTTGGATGTTGCTTTGTCCGAGCATTGAGCATTAAGATTTCCAACCTCCTTGACCCCTCCATCTTAGTTTGCGCCCGCTCCATCTATTGGTTTCTCAAGCTCAAGCTCAAGCTCAAACTGGAGTGAATCTAAGTTCCGCCTCTGCAAGTTGATTGCAATTTCACATGCCACGCGCAGTGGTTACTATGCGATTACGCCCAGCTCGAAACACTTCGCTATCCATCTTGATTATGGCTCGCCGTCGTAATTAATATCGACGGCCGCCTTTCTTGTTAACTCAACCTGCTGCCCAAATCCCTGAGTGCGCCTCCCGACATGCTCGGCCGGCTCTTGCACTTGGGCTCTGGCGGCCCTTCAGCCACGCCTACACAGGCCAGTACAAAGACGTCGAGGCCAGTATCCGCACTTGAATCTGCCCAGGAGGATATGGTAACTCGAAATCTGCTTTTCCCAGACGCCGATGCTTTATATCAGCATCGCAATGACCAAGTGTTCCCCCTATCAACCACACCAACAACCCCTGCCACCTCTACGGCCAATGCTTTCGACTACAGCGGCGATGTCGACTTGGACGTACGTGATGTTAGGGTTATCATAATGCAGGATGCCCTAGGACCTTCTAATGCATCTCTTTTGTTTGACAGCCACCCTGCTCCTCCAGTATCGCCCACAGAGCGTCCGCCCATTCCTCCAGAGTTTCGAAGAACGCCAACTTCACCGCGAAAAAGCAGTCTTGGAGGCCTATCACGACCCCTGGTTATCCAACCGGAAGGACCTCAGCCTTCGCCTCGACAGGGTGCTTTTGATCGACGAGCCTCCCTCCAGGGGCGCAGGGATAGTCACGTCGAGTCAGATGGACAGAAGGCTGCTCGTGAGTATCGCGAGGAGCTTGCGACGTTCTCAAGCTGCATCTTCGGTAACTCTGAATTAATGTCCTACAAAGGAACATCGACGAAGGTCCATGTTGTCCCTGGCGAGTCACGTCCTGTTGAACCTTCAAGCAGCATTATTGGGGATGGCCGGAGCTCCATCGGACGCTCTAGCGCGCGTTCAAGTCGGCTCTCACAATCCTTCTCCTCACAAGCTTTCTCCCCTACAAATATGGCCGCAGCCCAAAACCACACCTCTACCTCACGACCCGGCGAGAAGAAGAAGGTGCTAATAACTCGCTTATTTCCTGTCAATCTTACTATTGATGACCCAGAAACCAACGTATCGCCATCTAAAGATTATGCAGAAGAGAGTGCAGGTTTTCCCTTTCCAACGACAAGCGAGGAGTCTGTGCCGAAGAAGAAGAAGCCTCAGCCAAAGCAACGACGAACACCGATGTATGCCGTGGTCCTAGTAGTCCAACTACCTGCTGCAAATACCACTACAACTCGAATTTCATATATGAACCAGTCCAAATCTGCACAGCGCGAATCAAGCTCTTATAACGATCAAGAGTTTTTCCCGTCGTCTTTCAGCTCAGCCCGTCCTTCAGGATGGACAATGGTTGGGTCCGGAAATGGTGATGGGTCAGACACTTACACACCCGACATGGAGGATAGAATCGATTCACTGACTCGACATTGGGATATCATTATGAGGACATTGACTCATCTTCAATCTGTGGTGGCCACTACACTGGCCACGTTACTAAAGCAGGTCGACCTGGCTTCTCCCGGTCCAGCCCCTGGACCGGTTCCACCTCCAGTAGTAACTAACAAAACTGGCAGAGCACATTCTTTCTCGGACCAGTACCGGGGTGACATGCCTCGGATTAAGCCTTCGAAGAGCACCACCAAGCTGGTTTACCTTTGGCCAAACTGTCTCGCTGAGGATAAGACTGTTGAAGGAGAGGTCGATGCCGCTAGACAAAGAATTGTCATGGGATTGAGCGCAGCAAGAGTCGTAACGGGCCAAGGGCGCTGGGGAATTTGGCGAGACGAGGCTCGATGGGCCTCCAAGTGGGTTGCTGGCACCGATAATCAGAACCAGTTCCTCTACAATCTCCTGACTGGGTTTCTGTCGACCCACACAGACTGGCTGCAGGCTCTTTGCCCCCCCTCCTATCGAAGACGGCTCTATCTTCAGCAGAAGAACCGAAATGAGGAGGATCTGTCATTGCCGGCACGAACCATTATCGTATCTGATGACAAAATGGTTGCTAGGCGCCTCATCTTTCTTCTCTCTGCCTTCCTCCCTGCCAATTCTCATTTTCCTACGACCCGTGCTCATCGGCCCAGCACTTCGACTTCTGTTGGAACATATTCCAACTCGCCCCCGACCTTCGTAATTCCTGTTCTACGGGAAGAGTCCCTTCGTCGAAAGATCAACAGACGCACAGGCCTCCGCCGAGCCTCGCATTCTAGAACAACGAGCCAAAGCGCGAGGGCCTCAGCTGTCCCCATGCAACTCGCTCATCTAACAATGGACCGCAACCATGAAAGGCGAGTCTCGGATGCAGCCTCAATTCGACCCCCGAATTTTGCAATGTTTGGCAACGATGTCGTTAGCAGGAAGAGTAGCGCTGCGACAACCACAACAATTATGCCCGAGACAACTATACCACATTTCTCGACAGCTCAGCGAGTGGAATCCCAGAGAAGGCCCCGCCCGAGCAGCAGCGGCAGTGTCGCTACTGACGACTTGAAGCGCTCCTTGAAGCGAGGTGAAAGCACA